CTCTGTCTAAAGACCTTGTCCGTTTTTGCCGCACGGATGGCACGGAGCCCGCCTGCAGGGTCGTTAGGACCAGGCCTGGCCGGGGCACGGCGCCGCGCGCACGACACAAAACCCTTAACTGAACAGGGCTTCCTGCCCGCTTGTCCCCGCTGATCGCCGACCGATAGCGATACGGTTCGGCTTTGCATTTATTATTGTTTTGAAACAGCAGCAGCACCCGCCACTACAGTTGTTGCGCCACACGTGCCGATGCCTGCAGCAACAACAACACCACATTCACGTTTCGCCCACTTTTATTTGCTTACAAGCTAACCCTGGCGCCCTGCGACCCAATGGCAAGCGTCGGAGAAGCGACGTACTGTAGCATCTTGTACGTTTTGTTGTACATAGTCAAACGTTGAGTGCAATGCTAAAAAGAACCTCCAATTTTCCTGAGGGAATTTCGACTGTATAATGGAAAGCTGAATTCAGTTAATTGAAGGGAATTCCCTTAGATTAATGGAAAGTGTTAGTTTTACAATAAAGCCAAAGTTTCCTTTGGAATTGTAACGGAAGCACTTTTTGACGTGGAATCAAAGGTACAGTTTTCTGTGTGAAAAACTTTATTTTTGAATATCTATGTTTAGTTTACCTGTCATCCACAAAAAGATAATCTTGGCGCTTATGTGAGTTGAGTAAATCCTCCACGGCAATTGTTACTTTCACAGCTTTTTTGCTTGCATCCTCCCTCCTCGTAATGTGCACGCAGAGGGTGGTCTAGCTTTAAGTTAAATTTGCACATATCGCTTTTCTGTTTTCGCCCAGCTATTTTTACACTGCAGCGTTACTAAACGCCTGCAAGCCCAGGATAGGCAACCCCGCACTACACCCGTGACAAGCCTGCCGCACCGTTGCCTACCCACCAGGCGCCCTCCACGCCACCGAGTGCTCCATTAGCAAACCATCCAAACGACTAATGTTTTACTTATTTCTTGAAAGCACGGAGCGCTTGGCATCAACACTTCAGTACGTCGCAAAATAAAATCTTTGAAAATTACGCTACAGGCACCGCGGCGGCCGTCTAAACTAATTTATATTTGGCCTGTTGGGAGGAAGGGGTTCCGATAAGATATCCTCTTTGTTTTAATTGTTCGGGCTCGTGCAGCGCGCAGACACAACTCTCTACAACAAACACGGCCGACACCGCCACGCCGCACCACGCCGCGCTCGACGGGCTCGACGTCGGCTATCGGAGAACATTCGGCGTGTGCCTCCCCCGACGCCCGCCCCGCCCCGCCCGGTCTCGCGCCGCGGTGACCAGGTTCGGTCGTGACCCGCCCCAAGGCGGAACCGCCCTCTGTGTAACAATGCACGCGGCTTGCTAATTACACCTAGGTGTACAGAACTCTACAAAATCTGACGTTATAGCACGTTGATAAAATCAAGAGCAAAGTCGATAGAGAAGTTTTTACTTTTTCTTAAAATGGGTAACTACATAATATTTCGCAGTGCTTCGGCGAGCGAGCCGCATTCGATTAAAACCCCGGCCGCTCATACAACAAGGCTTGCCTTTCCCAATAATACATGTTTTCTTTTGGACTTTACGAGCCGTTGCGCAGTTTCATTATCCGCGTTTGGAGCGCGCCGAGCGCGCGCCCCGGAGGCCGGTCCTGAGCGCCCGCGCCACCCGGGGGCCGGGCCGGGGCCGGCTTGGGGGAGGCAGGGGACGGCAGGGGGCGCCAAGAGTTTAGCCAAGTCGACCGGCATGCTGTCGTTTAAGTGACAGGCTAGAATGGCCAATCAGCCAATTTGGCACCGTGCACTCACAGGCTCGCGCGCACCCGGGAGAGAAAGAGAGAGAGAGAAAGATAGAAAGAGAGAGATTGCGTGTGCCAAGCGCTCAGCCTGACTCTCACCGTAACGAACTTGACAACGACTGGTGTGTGCGCAGGGGAGGTGGCTGGTTGAGTGTTTCAAATGAAACCCCATGCTGCCAGCCAGCCCTGGACTCAGGCACCCCTGTTGAGGGTCTACATCCTACGTCCAGCTGGACGGGCAAGCACCCATACCCAATACCCATAGTTTCTGTCCTATTACTCTTAGCTAACATGCTCAGACCAAGATCACATTCTAACAAGGATAGAAAAGACTTGCTGTTGCAGCTTATACTCATACTCATTGCTACTATATAGCACCCACAATGTAGAAATGACGGGAAGTCAACCAGACTAAAAAGTGAAGCAATTTCGGCCATAAGCACCTCAACGCACTGCACTGATAGGGGCCCTCCACTCTCTCACGACTCGGCCTTCTGGTCCACACAGCATCACTCCCTGCCGGCTGCCGCGCACGACGCGCAGATATTTATCCCGTTCGATCAGATCGGTCAGAGTCACTGCTGCAGCGGCCCGCCCGGCCAGGCCCGGCCGCGGTAGCAGCCCGAACAAAGCGTGCTTTAAGAAATATCGCCACGACTCTGTCAAATCCGTTCCCGGGCGGGGAGCAGTCGCGCGCGCGGTGGGCGGGTCACGACGCTGCCCAAACCAAATACCTCGCGCCGCTGATGAAACGTTATCTATTTCTCGAGTTTGGTTATTGCTAATAACCTCACCCAGAGCTTTAACAGGTCGCCCCGCGCCACAGCGGTCAAGGAGACAACCGGCTCTGGCGATCCAAGATGAGGATTATTGTTTCGTTCAGGGCCAGCACATATATTGACCTCGTGACTTTTATCGTTTCTCTGAAACAAAACGCGGAGCGAACGGTACGTTAATTTTTTTTGCACAAACCTGGAAGAGCAGGTAGCCATTGTCGTACATCCAGAAGTCGTTGTCGGCGAAGCCCGCGCCGCCCGGGCCGGGCCCCGGGAGGTGGGGGTCATCGTCGTCCTCGGCGCCGCAGAGCTGGCGGTGCTGCGCGCCGCCGCCCTGGTGGTGGTGGTGCGAGGCCAGGGGCACGCAGCCCGTGCGCCGCAGGGAGATGGCCAGGCAGTGGCGCAGCAGCACGTAGCGCGGCGCGGGGCCGAGCGACCCCGGCGGGGACCCCCCGGCCGAGCTGTGGGACCCCGCGTGGGAGCCGGCGTGGGACCCCGCGTACGACCCCAGCAGGGACGGCGCGCCGAGGGAGCCGCAGTGGGAGCCCTTGCGGCTGCGGGCGGGGCTGCGGCCGCCCAGCGTGCTCATGGTAGCGGGCGACGACCGCGCGCCGCGTGGGGCCTGCAACAGGAACAGGTGTTCGCTTAGCGCGGCTG